CTCCTCCTCCTCCTCCTCCTGCGGTGCCAAGGCCTCTCGCCCTCGGCACCGCAGACCGCGCTGCCCCCCTGCCGGCGGGCCTCCCCCCCTGCCGGCGGGCGCCGCCCTGCCGGCAGGGAGAGGGCACGGCGCGCGGGCGCGCCGCGGCGCCGCGCCGCCTCCGAGGGCGGGGGCGAGGGCGAGGCCCGAGTTCACCAGCCTCGAACGTCTCCCGATCCCTAAGATTGACACGCCAAAAGGCGATGGCAATCTTAGGGATGCGCCCTGAAAAACGGAGGGAATCCCCAAGATTGGAATGGTGTTGGGGCGATGCCCAGCTGGGGGATAGGGATATGTTCCAGGCTGGTAACGAGTGGGGGATCGACTGCAGAACCGGTGCTCCCGCGCCACAAGCTTGCATCGTTCGCCGAAGCTGCGAGCAAGTATGCACCTCGAGTGCTCGTATACATCTGCGGGCATGGGATCGTGGAGCAGACAATGACATGAACACAAAGTCTCGGAGGTCCGCGCGGATCTCTCGGATCGGCGCTGGACCCCCGTCCCTGGCGCGCGGAGCGCGCCGTGGGTGGCGCCAGAGGCGCCGCCCAGGGGGCCCCAGCGCCGTTCCGAGAAATCCGCGCGGATCTCCGAGCTGTTCTGTTTCACGCCATTGTCTTGGCATCGCTCGGACGTGTGCATTTTTTCCTTGGTGGGGACCATCGAGGAGCATCCTTGATCATCTGGCGACAAAGCCAGGCACGAAACCGAACGAAGCACAGGGAATGGACGTCCGAGCGATAGCGAGTTGTTCGTTCCCCCATGTTGCGCGTGCTGCTGCAGCTCCGACGGAGGCCTGCCTCCGCGGCGCGGCGCAGCGCCGCAGCCGCGGATCCCCCTGCTCGAGGAAGGCGGGCGGCGGGCGGCCTCCGCCGGCGCGGGCGGGCGTGGCGCGCGCGAGCCCTGAGCGCTGCGAGGGCGCTGCGCCGTCTCTCTCAAGCAGTGGCCAAGCGTCCTGGCTCGCCTATAGACCTACCACTTGGCATCGCTCGGACGTGTGCATTTCTCCTTCGGCGAGGACCATCGAGGAGCATCCTGGATCATTCGGCGGAAAACCACGCACGAAACCGAAACAAACACAGGGAATGGACGTCCGAGCGATGGCCAGACCAAGCAATGCTCCAAGGACCTCCTGTGGTTCCCACGGGATGTTCTTAGAACATGTCCGGCTGGGACTGTCCGGTTTTCACACATCGGGCTTGTGTGCTAAGAACACTGCTGTTGCTCTCAAAACACTTCTGGGCTCTAAGAGCATCACCACCCACCAAACCACCCCAACCCAACCCGAAGGCTCAGATGTACCCTCGATTTCTCCAGTGGGGGGGGGGTCGGGAAACACCGAAAAAACACGTGTGGAACCCTTACCCCCTCCCAACCCGAAATTCAGGTCTTCGGGTTGGGTTGGGGTGGTCTGGTAGGTACAGCCGGACCGAGGTATAAGATCGAGGTCGGTTCGGGGAGGGTGCCCCAGTGTTCTTCGCGTTTGTTGGGTGTTCTTGAGCATATTGGGGAGGGTAGCATTGGACGCTCTGTTTGTTTTGGCCGACGCAGGGTCTCATGTTCTTGAAGGATGTTCTTCTGGCCTAGGTCCGACCCCAGACACCCGACGTCGTGAATTTTTCATGACGTCGACCCCCAGCTGTCTGGACCTATTCCCCGGGACCGGTTTTTCGTCCTGAGTCGTTTTTTGACGGTCCCGAGGGCCGGTAAGGGCCCCCAGAGGCCAAAAATAATGAAAAACCTCCCGTCGTGATTTTTTCATAACTCGAGGGGGTCTGGGACTGTAGTCAGAGCATTTCGTGGTAGGACTATAGGAATGCCGGAACACTGGAGGGGAAAAAACACACAGACACAATTAATCCTCGATTCCCAGGAACATATGGGAAAATATGGGAAGTGGGAGGGACGACGAAAATCCAAAAAATATGGGAAAATATGGGGAGTATTTTTATTTGTGTGTATTTATTTGTGTGTCCTTGGGCCCCTTCATATAGGAATGCCGGGACGGTCGGTCCCCGCTCGAGTGTCGGGTGGTCTGGGCGCGCGCTCCTCCGCGGCGACGGCGCGGGGGCCATGCGCTGCAGGGAGGTCCACGCTGGTTTCGCTCCCCCTCCTCCTCCTCCTCCTCCTCCTCCTCCTCCTCCTCCTCCTCCTCCTCCTCCTCCTCCTCCTCCTCCTCCTCCTCCTCCTCCCCCTCGAGGCGTTCGTATCGCGAGGGCACTCTCGCGGACTGGGGGGTCGTGCTCATGTATGTTTAGCATGTCCCCCCACAGGCGGAGTTTGGACGAGAAGTAAGAAATATACTTCAACACGTACCCCAAGCATGTGCAAGCGTGGTCCAACCTGATTTCTTTTACTATTTTTGAATGTTCCCCCTGTAGAGAGACAGGCCCGACTTGCATGTATGTGGTTGGGCGCGTACGTCCTTTGCGGGCTCCCTATGGTGGCCGTACGAGGCTTCCAGGGGTCGCGCGCCACTCCCGACTTCACACACACGTTCGAGGCACATTCAGCACACAGCCATGTCAGAGTGCTCAGCAGCGAAATGTCAGCACACAGCCTCCCTCTCCTTCTCCTTTCTCTTCTCCTGTTAGAGCCACCATGCCATTCGGGAGAAATTGATCCGGCACGAAGAGCTACCCCCCCCAGGGAACGAGTCAGAATTTTTGGGGCCGCGCCCTGGAGAAATCACGCCGTCGTGCGTCTAGGAGGGGGAAGGGCGCGAGGGGAGGAGACCTCCTCCGAAGGTGCGCGGGGGAGGGGGGGGGGCTTCCAAGAAGCCGGGGCGGCGTCGGATCAAAAGTCCTCCAGGCTTCCAGGGAGCCTTTCCCGAAGCCTCTGGGGCCTCCTGAGATCGGGCCGAACGAAAGGGGGGGTTAGGAAGGGGGGGGGGGTACGAAATCTGCTGCATGCAGCTGGTGTCAGCCCCGCCGCCGGGCCCATCCCTCGATATATCGAGGAATGGGCGCCTCCCGGCGCCGGGAGGCGCCTGGAAAGTCAGCTGCGTGAGCCGGTTCTCTACCCTGCCCTTTGCTACCCCCCCCCCGCTTTGGTTCCCCCCGAGGAGGCAGCCCCGGGGGTTCTGGGGAGCGACCCACCCAGGGGCACATGTGAGGCGGCCGACCCCCTCGCGCCACGCCCTCGGTGTCGCGCGGGCGAGCGCAAGGGGCGGCGCAAAGTCAGAGCCCCGAATCATCAGGGGTAACTCGGGTCAGGGCTAACTCGGGTTCGTTTTTCGGGAGTCCGAACCCGAGTTATCCCGGACCCGAGTTACCCCGGATATTTCGGGCGTCCAGAGCCCCGAATCATCAGGGGTAACTCGGGTCAGGGTTAACTCGGGTTCGTTTTTCGGGAACCCAAACCCGAGTTACCCCGGACCCGAGCTACCCCGGATAACTCGGGCGTCCAACAAAGTTGGCCGGGGAGAAGGCCGCGCGGCCCTCCTGTCGAGCAGTGGCGAAGCGTCTTAGCTTGCCTGTAGGCCCACCAAAGAATGTATTAAGCACTTCGTGTGGTCTGCACCAAATGCCCTCTCAGAACACCTCTGGCTCAGGCAGTCTTGTTTCAACACATCGGAGTACGTTCTAAGAGCGTGGTTTTTGTGTTCTTAGAACACTGTTGGGCTCTAAGAGCATGTTGTGGTGGGTCTATAGGCTGGAATGCCAGGGCGGTCAGTCCCTGCTCAACTCTGAGAAGCTCTGGGGCGCTCGCTGGCACTGCCCATCGGGGGATACCGTTTTTGTGCACGGGGCACCGGTATCATCGCGGCAGTTGCCGCCCGCCCGCCCGCAGGATCCAACCAATTCGCGCGGTCGGAGGCGCGCGCTGCCTGGCGAAAAGCGTCGTGTGTTCTCGCCGTCGCCGTCGACCTTTCTATCGCTGCCCCCGTGTGTCCCTGCCGTGAGGCTCCCGGTGTGCAGGCCAGGGGCCGGAGGGAGAGAGGAAGGCTCGCTCCTCGTGGTCGGCTTTCTGGGGCCCTTCCTCTGGCCTCGAGGCGTGCACAGACCGCCTGCAACGGGGAGCCGGTCCCCGCGGTGGGATCCTGCTCTTTATTGGTGTGCAGCTCTCCTCCTCCTCCTCCTCCTCCTCCTCCTCCTCCTCCTCCTCCTCCTCCTCCTCCTCCTCCTCCTCCCTCCTCCTCCTCCTCCTCCCCGCCTCCTCCTCCCTCCTCCTCCTCCTCCTCCTCCTCCTCCTCCTCCTCCCTTTCCTCCTCGTCCCCCCTCCTCGGCGTGCGTGTGCCGGCTCCCCCTGCGCCGCCCCCCCTATGGCAGCCAGATCCCCCCGGCGAGTCCGGCCCGAAGCCCCCGGCCCGTGCCCGTGCGGGGTCCCCGGAGGAAGTCCCGAGGCCTTCCGTGCAGGGCCAGCGGTTGCACCCCCCGAGTCGTTGCTTGACGGGCCCGGGGCTCGGCGAGGGCCCCGGGAGGCCGCAGACGGCGCTCCTCCTCCTCCTCCTCGCTCACTTCCTCTCTTCGTCCCCTCCTCCTCCTCCTCCTTCTTTACCTCCTCCTCCTCCTCCTCCTGCTCCTCCTCCTCCTCCTTCTCCTCCTCCTCCTCTTCCTCCTATCTCCTGCTCTTCGGTTTTGGCCATCCGTTGGGGCCCTGAGCCCACAACCCAAGGCCAGGTTGACTTGCCTCTTTCCGCCGGGAGAGGTCCACGTAGGCGGCCGCAGTGTGCTGCAGGGCCGGCTGGCCATCCTGCAGTCATGGTCGACCGCGCGCGTGCTGCTGGTGCGAGGGTGGGCAACGGGATATGCTTGCTGCCGACTGCCGATCCTCCTCGTCGTCCGATTCGAGGTTCGCGGTCTTCTCCGACGTCTCCGTCGGAGCCATCCTGGCTCAAGACTCAAGAGCCACCCGACGCCCGAGATCTGAGCACTCCAACCATTCAGGGGCAAGGTTGGGGGGATCGTCCACCCCGCCCGGGGACGTGCAGGCTCGTTATCGGGGGGGTCCTATCGCCGATCGATCAGTCGTTGTTTCCACGCTGAGCCAGTCTGGGCATCCCAGACGGGGTCGGAGTGGATGGGGTCGGAGCACTGCGCCGCATCGCCGATGATCGGCGATGCGGCTCGATGCGCAGCCCGATTTGCTCCACGCCGACGTTCGCCGATGCATCGCCGGCGTCGTGGACGCATCACCGATGCATCGGCGATGCGGCGCGATCCTCCGACCGCATCCACTCGACCCCATTTGGGGGGGGCCTCTGGCCAGTCCCCCCCCCCCATCGGTCCCCCTCGACAACTTGTTGACCATGCGGATCTGCGGCCAGGACTCCGGGCCTCGCTTCGACCCGCAGGTGACGGGCATGTCCCGCTGCGACCTGCACTGGGTCTACGCCGCGGGGGCGGGTGCTCGGGCACCGGGGCTCCCACAATGGAGGTTGGGGGCCTCACGGTGCGCGAGTCTAGAGGAGGTCTTCCAGAGGGAGACGGGCGACCTCCCAGAGTTCTCCCCGTGGGTGGACGCCAGCAGCGCCGCCTTCTGGCATGCGGACCTGGACTCCTAGTTACGCCTGGCGGTTCTCGAAGTATGGGCGCGGACTTCCTCGCGGGGCGGTGGCCATGGGCCGACCTCGGGCAGGCCCTCTGCTCTCTGAGCTCCCACGTGCCAAACACGCAGGAGGTGCTCGAGGCAATCTCGACGACCGCGCCGTCGGACGAGGAGGAGGAGGAGGAGGAGGAGGAGGTGGAGGAGGTGGAGGAGGAGGAGGAGGAGGTCGTGGAGGAGGAGGAGGAGGAGGAGGAGGAGGAGGAGGAGGAGGAGGTGATGAGGAGCTGGCGCTGGAGAAGGAACGATTGAACTTTTCTGGCCACGACCTTTCCTGGCAAGCGAGGGCCTTTTCCCTCTGCCGCTGCTCGCGCCCTCGGTGGATCGGACCGAGCGGTGGATGTTCGAGGGCCAGAGGCCTGTTCCGCTCCACGGTCACCGTTAGCCCCGACGCCTAGACGTCAATGCTCATTTTGTAGGGAGAAGAGGTCTGCCTTACCTCCCTCCTCCTCCTCCTCCTCCTTCCTCCTCCTCTTCCTCCTCCGCCTCATCCCTCCTTTCTCATCCATCCCTCCTCATCCTTCCTCCTCCAACCTCCTCCTCCTCCTCCAGATCTGACCGAGTTTTATTGCGGGAACGATTCAAATAAATCGCCCCCCCCCCCCCCTGGACCCCGCAAAATGATTGAGTGGGGCGGACTAATAGAATTCAGCCGCCGGAACCTGTTTTTTTGAATCGTCCGCCCCCCGGCGTTTGTTTTTGCCCCTTTGGGGGAACTGATTTTCTATTCGTCCTCCTTCGCTCGCTTGATCACCCGCGGCCGCGGGGGGAGGATTGCGGAGGGGGGACGGGGTAATTAGGGAGTAGTTGAGGGAAGGGATTTTCGAAGAGGCGGTTGATCACCCTCGTCCTTGCATACGGCCGCTGGTCGTCCTTGCGGACGGCCGCGGCGATTGGGAGGTGGGGGATGAGGAGGAGGGGGAGGAGGAGGAGGAGGAGGAGGAGGAAGAGGAAGAGGGGGGATGACAAGCTAGGTCCGCTCGCGTCATATATCACAGCCTACCCCTCCCTCCCATCCCTTACCATGGCGTAGATCCCCTCTCTACTCGCACAGTCGGATGTCGAGCAGGGCAATGATCCCGAAAGGGTACGCGATGCATTGTAGAGCACGGCGTGGTATGGCGTTGAAGAGCACCGCAAAGCGTAGTATGTCACAGCGTGGCGTGGCGTGGCGTAGTGGAGAATTGCATCACAAATCCTTGCAACGCAAAGCATGGCATCGCACAGCGGCCCCCCGAACATAACATTGCATAGCATGGCGTTGAAGATCAAAGCGTAGCATGGCAGAGCACGACGTGGCACGTAAGCATTCCTCCTCGTCCTCCTCCTCCTCTTCCTCTTCCTCCTCCTCCTCCTCCTCCTCCTCCTCCTCTTCATTATTCTCCCTCCTCCTCAATTGCGAGGACGTCCGAGCGGGAACCGCCGCGTGGTTCATTATCTCCATATCCTGCATGCGCTCTCCTTGCCACACGCGCATTCATCGTCTCCCTGGGTGCCGCCACGAGGAACGAGGGGCGCATCGAACGAGTAAGGGCGCCTGGCCCCTTACGACGCTTCCCTCAGGCTCAGATCGCGGACGAGGAGGACGAGGAGGAGGAAGAAGAGGAGGAAGAGGAGGAGGAGGAGGGGGAGGAAGAGGAGGGGGGGAAAAAAAAGTAGAGTATGATGAGGGGGCAAGGAGGGGAGTATGGATGAGCTTCTGGCGAGAAATTGCGGAGGGAGGAGGAGGAGGAGGACGAGCTCGCCCTGAAGAATCACCCCGTCCACCCCCCTGGCCCCCGCGCCCTGGATCGCCACCCCGTGCCCCCCCCCTGGCCTTCCAGGCAACCCGGAATTGTCAGCCCCCCGTCTGCCTGCCCTGCCCCCCCGCTATTGCGGGGGCGAGGGGGCCCGCGAAACATTTCGTTTGTCCGCCCCAAAACGTTTTTATTTTTATGTTTTGTTTTATCGTTCCCCGTCATTATAAGAGCGAGGTTGGCACGGGGATGGCACGCTAGTGCTCGTCGCGCTGGTCGGATGCTCCTGTGCATCATGGGGAGGTGCCCTTGGATACTCTGCTTGTATTGGTCGGCGGAGGGTCGCATGTTCTTGAAGGATGTTCTTTGGCCCAGGTCCGACTATATAAAGAACTTCTCGATCTCGGCCCGATGTCCGAGATGCGCGACGCGTCCACTGGCGTCGGTTTCGTGTCACTTGGCCCCAGTAGCGCCAGACTGTTGCTTCGCCAGATGCTGTCCGCGTGCAGATAGTCTACTGGAACAGACCAGACCAGTCCATGACGAAAGTTCACAGCACAGATCGGCTTGAGAAGCTTGAGCATGTCAATACGGACTACAGGCGGTCCTGCATGGCGCGTTGGCCAGTCTGACCATCACATTGTTACCGGTGCGGGTGGCAAGTCGCTCCAGTTTGCGCAGGACAAGTACCACGCAAAGGGTATCGGCCCCATGTTATTCAACAAGCAGGGTTACCTTATTGGTGATTATTGTCCTATGCCAGGCGGGTTCTACCTCGAGATGAAGTCCGTAGAGTAGTCAGTCGGAGCAGTCGTCGACGCATATGAGTTCCACACATAACTTGATCACACTTGTTGTTTTGAGTTCGCGTTCCTGGCCTGATAGCATGTCAAGTTCCAGGTGCCAGATCCCATACGTGCATCACATTCGCTTGTTTGTGGCATTGTCCAGGCCAGGCCAAGTCTAAGCTGAGCATTTTATCTTCGGAGCGTCCCCGTTCTCTCCTTCCACCTCTTCCCAGGGGTGATTCTGTTTGTCCCGTACGACCGGGCGACAGTCCAGGCAAGTGTGCGTTATGCGGATACATGTCAGCCCCGTTGTTTTTTAGAGTCTATTGGAGGTTCAATGGTCTTGCATAGTCTTGGGCAGCGGACCAGGCATACGTCTCCCACGCGGAATAGCCTCGGGATGCTTCTAACGGGTGCGCCTCGCCGAGGGCATCGTCGATCACTCTTCCGATGCCCAGGGTCTATCCAGATCCGATTCGATATCGACTCCCGCTGGCCCGATCCGATTTGAGTCCGATGCTCCGAGGGGCCGATGCCACCAGATGCGTGCCTGGCGTTGCTGTGCATCATGGCGCCGCCGATCCTCCGATTCGATTTCGGATGCCGTGCCGGTGCGCCCCGATCCGACGCACATGTCGATTCGACCCGGCTTGCCGCTCCGGTGTCGACTGACCCTATGCGCACTGCTCGGGGCGCGCGGATCGCCGGGGCCGGCGCCGATGGGGCCCGGCCCGTCCCCCCCGGGCCCCGTCTGCGTTACCCGGGTGGGCCGTCCCCTCCCCGCCCTCCGGTGCCCTGGCTTTGGGAGCCTCCTCCTCCTCCTCCTCCTCCTCCTCCTCCTCCTCCGCCAGTCAGTTCTGAGTCTTTGTTGGGCCCTTGTCCGTGTCTCTCGACCTCGGTGGTGGAGCGACGTCAACTCGGGGCTCCCACCTCCTGGGGGGGGGAGGCTACATGTTTCGCAGTCTGCGCCCGATAGATCACAGGCTGTAAAGCGCCGTTCGGCTTGCCGCCTGGTCGGTCGTGTGACGAACTTGGTCCGATACCGCTGCCGCCGCCGCCGCCGCCGCCGCCGCCGCCTCCTTCTCCTCCTCCTCCTCCTCTTCCTCCTCCTTCCTCTCGCCCTGGAAGACGCCCTCCCCGCCTTTCCCTCGACCCTCAGCTCCCTCCTCCTCTCCTCCTTCTCCTCCTCCTCCCTCCTCCTCCTCCTCCTCCTCCTCCTCCTCCTCCTCCTCCTCCTCTTCTCCTCCTTCCTCCTCGCCTGGAGACGCACGCCTTTCCTCGACCCCCTCTTCCTCCTCGTCCTCCTCATCCTCCTCCTTCCTCCTCCTCCTCCTCCTCCTCCTCCTCCTCCTCTTCCTCCTCCTTCCTCCTCGCCCTGGAGACGCCCCCACGCGCCTTTCCACGACCCTCCCCTTCCTCCTCGCTGCTCGGGGTGGAGGTGGCGGCCCCCCCTCCCCGGCCCTGGCTTTGGTAGCTGCCGTGCGGCCAGCCGGGCCCGGGCCCGCGGCGTCCCTGGCCGGCCATGGGGGAGCGCCGAGCCGCACGCAGCGGCGGAGCGGCCCGGCCTGCCTGCAGGCCCACCAGAGGGTGTCCTGTCGTTACCAGCCTGGATTTGGACGCCCGAGATGGGTACGGAAAAAATGGGCACTATGCCCGACAACAAATGTTGTCCCGAAGCAACAGCGGCCGCTGTTGGGCCGGCGGCCTTCTGTCTCGAATGGACACAGGCCGCGGCGGCGTGGACAGCGAATCCAGTTCAAAATGAACAGGAACTGCTGTTGGGCATCGTACCCATTCTTTCCGTACCGATTTCGGGCGTCCTGACTGGAACATATCCCTATCCTTATGCTGGGCACCTCCTCATCACGACGCCAATCTTAGGGACTCCCTTCTTTTTTGAGGGCGGGCCCCTAAGATTGTCATCGCCTTTTGGCGTGTCAATCTTAGGGATAGGGATACGTTCGAGGCTGGTAATATCGGGGGCGGCAAAGAGGGGGGTGATGACTAGGGGGGGGGGGGGAGATCGTGGCGTGGGCCATGATCTTTCCCCAGACTTCATGGCGCCTCTTCTTATTTCATTACGTCCTGGGCCCCCCCCGCTGGGCCGCGCACGTGCCGCCTGTCATGATTTGCAGCCCCCCCTCTTGGACACCCTCCTCTTGGCCGCTCCCGATCCTGAGGACCTCCGGTGGTTCGGGACGACCGACATGGGTACGGAAAGAATGGGTACGATGCTCAACAGCAGTTCCTGTTCACTTTGAGCAGGACTCGCTGTCCGCGCCGCCGCGGCCTGTGCTCATGTGAGACAGCAGGCCGCCTACCCAACAGCGGCCGCTGTTTGGTTTGGGACAACATGTCTTGTTGGGCGTGGTACCCATGATTTCCGTGCCCATTTCGGGCGTCCAAAGTGGTCTGCACGAAGTGTTCTTAGAACA